ATTATTATTATTATTATTATTTCTTTTTATAGGTTATATATAATCACTTACCTTGCGAGGCCATGAAGCTGCCTGAATCACTTCTTCAAAGTAAGCAGGGTTAAAGGGAAAAAAAAAAAAAAAGCAGGTGTTATTTGCTTGCAACGGGGGAGTGGGGGGATAGAAAAAGCACAGCATGCAGAAAGTTCAGAAGATGTCTGTCTACTTCAAGTCAGGTTGCAAAAGAATAGCATGGAAACACATCGCCTTTCTTATATTACTGACTCCTGCATTTTACTGGTATGAGCAACAGGGGGAGATAATGCCTGGAACTGAGAAAAAGAATTCTGCATCCATGTGAATAATAAAAAGGAATAGGATACATAAAGCAATCACATTTAACAAACTGACCATAGTATTAATGGGCATGAAATTGAATCTCGCCTGTATATTGCATGCAGTATTTGCTTTTGCATTATCAGCTATCTATATCAACACTAAGATACATGAATTAAAGAAAGGTGGTGTCACAATGTTTTCTATGGGAACAGAAGAAAACATGCACGTGTGATGGGGGTTTTGTCCTGCTGTCAGTCAGCTTTTGTCAAGGGTGATTGTTCCTTGACGGAAGAAAATCATATCCAGAAAATAATGCTGTTTGCCTCGCAATAGAAATGGAATTCAGATATGGAGATCTTTCTTCAGAATAGAGAGACTAAATTATAAAGCTAATGGTCATCCTAAAAGCATTAGGAGAAAATAACCTTGAGTTGCCAGCTTATATTTCTAACTCGTAATCAAGTTGCCATGGTGATTGTGTCCATGTGTGACTCATGCAGCCATGATTCACAACTATTAAGTGACCACAAAAAGGGCAATAGAGGAAAAAGCTGTCATGCAAATCTCAGCAGGTTGAAAGTCATTGTTACCTAACATTGATAGTTATCTATACATGTTCAGGCTCATTTTATGATGTCTTTTTAGTTCTCTCTCAGGATAATTACATATAAATTGTATTTTCATGGCTGATGGCAGAACTACAATCTAAACCTTGTGCCCCCAATTATTCAGAGAAATAGCCTGTGGCTTGGGATTCATCCTTTTCTATGCACACTGAAAAATTCAGGACGTACAGTAATTTTAATTTATAGAGTTTGTTGGCACAAGATGGCCACTAGCTCAAGGTTGATGGATACATTACTCATATCATACATTAGTATATGGAAGACAGTTCAAACCATTTCTGTGTGATACAAGATGAGTTGACTACACAACTCTTAATGATTAATTAGACGTGTTTACAGAGAATAAATCAATTAGAAGGTCCCATTGAAAGAAAGCATGAAGAATGACATGAAGCCCTGATCAGTATTTAAACTTTTTAAGAAGGGGTTCTACATACATACCAGACAAAATTTTGATTCCGTGGTATAAAGAGATGGAGCATGATTTTAAAGTTATATTCCTAATCCCAGAAGAATATCAAGAGAAGTTATTTCCTCTGGTACAATCTGAGGTATGCATAAAAGGCTGAAGTATATATAGCTTGCATAGAGACATAAAAGAGAGGAGACAAGGAGGCTTTAATTCAGCATAGATAAACAAAACAAAAATGCCTGGCTAGAACATATTTACCAGTTTCTACAGAAATAGTGTATTTTTCTTGAACATCTGTTTTTTCCCCTGCTTCCTTTCATCTGGACTTCCCCCCCCCCCCCCCCCCCCC